TGACATTTATTTATCACTTGAGCCAGTCTGCAGAGGGTAAGGTGAAACTTCCAGTCATGCATTTCCAAAAGACAACTGGGGGAGTACATTTTGTAATTACAGAACATAACAAAGCTAAACAGCTCAAAGATTGGATAGAACCTGGGAACTGGATAGCACCATACAACAATCAACAAAGCTAATCAGAGAACTATTTCATACTCTAGAAAAGGAAAAGTCTAGAGAATCCAAAATATTAGTTTCTGTCTACAGACCGTTGAGAATTGTTCTGCATTATTTATTCAAAAAGTGGCTTAAAAAGATTAAATGCACTTCTAAAAAGAGATTATTGGTAGAATCTGGTTTGTTCTCCTCAAGTAACTTAGCCCTGTTATGCAGGTAACAGAGAAAACGTAATAACTGAAATTCAGAATAACCTCAAAATTCAGAATAGTTTTATAGAGGAAAAAAGTACACCAGCACAAATATCTATTCAGGAAAAAAAAACTGTTAAAAGGGATAAAGTAGCTGTTAGCGTTGAGAAAAAGGGACAAATCTATGGCAAAATCGTAGAAGAATGTAATTAAAAATAAATCAAGGTGTTAAATATGAAGACCCTTTTCTAAAAGTCTTTAAAAACAAAATAGATTCTCATATGCCAGAGATGGCAAAAAAAAAAAGAACAGAAATCCCCAAAGCCTGAGTTTCCATATCTATAAAATATCTATATCTATGAAACGAGGGGTTATTAAAAGTTTATAAAATAAAGATCATTAAAGATCTATATAGTAACAGTTAAGGGTGTGTGTATGTGTCTGCGTCTGTGTGTGTGTGTGTATTGGTGGGAATCAGGGAGAAAATTATAATTTTCAGGATTAGGGAAGAGAACTAAATGATATAATTGATTCTACTAAAGCTGAGATGTCAAAACAGGGGAGATTAATGGGCCCTGTAGATTTTTTTTTCAAAGCATGCTAAAGTCTGTTGGAAGATTATGAGAGATAAGATGAGGTTTGACTAATACTTATCTGAATCAAGCCTAGCTTTATTAAGATACGCAGCCATGGTGTAGTACATAGAGAGCAGGCCTCAAAGCCAGGAAGACACGAGTTCATGTCCAGCCTCTGACAAAGCTTCAGTATCCTAGGTAAGACTTTAAGTTCTAGACATAATGAGTTTCATTACCCAGGGGTTCCTAATACCAAAAATCAGTTCAGTCCCTATTCCTAATTCCTCATTAAGTTAGTTACTATATTTTGTAGGATGACTACCATTGTGTAGCCATCTATTAGAGACTAGCTTGAATATGGTAGGCACTTATTTATTGAATGAATGGAAGAGGAAGCAAGGTACAGTGGAAAGAGACTTTGGAGTCAAGAGGGCCTGGTTAAAATCCTGCCTTAGTCATCGTCTATCTGTACGACCTTGGGCAAGTCAATTAACCTCCCTAGTCCTTAGTTTGCTCATCTGTAAAATGAGGGGGATGGATAGCCTTGAATGTCTTTTCTAGCTCTAATTCTATGATCCTATGAATTTATATGATGTAGTAGGGACATCAATTTACTAACCAAAGTTTTCAAGGTTTGGTAACCTATGGTTGTATCTTTTTTTTTTTTAAATTTTTAGGCACATATGTCTAGAGATAGCTCTAGACTATATATGTCTAGAGATAGACCTAGACATATAAAGAGCCAATGAAAAGATTTCCTCTGACCACTTTAAGTGCACCCAAAGGTATTTTTGTAGAATTAATGTTTCTAATAAGTGATCTACGAATTTTTTTCCAAAGCATACTTATGCAAAAAACAACCCTTCCCCCCACCTGCATATCTAGAACATAGCTAAGAAAATCAGAATTAGCTATTATACTGTTCATATATGCTTCCTATAATTTAGGTAAGAGATCTCATATGGTATTAGAGTTAGTATGTAGAAGGGACAGCAACAGCAACAATACATAGCAATTATTCTTTTAAAAAAACGTTCCAGGAGTATTTTCCACTCATTTCTTGTGTCAGGAAAGACAATCTAATTTTGCCCAGGCTTTTTATTTTGGGGTCAACTAAGTGTATCCAGAATGGTAATAGTGACGGTATCACAGTTCTGCCCTAGCAAGGCAACATTAGTAATTTTGTGTTGAGTCCAGGGGGTCACATTTTAGGAAAGACATTGACAAGTTTGCTTTGTCTTGAGGAGAATGACCAGGAATGTGAGGAGACTTCAGACTATTCAACTCGATAATTGTTCTTAAGAACAAGGGATGATTAGTCTGGAAAAGAAGAGGGGAGTAAAGTAAAATTTATGTATTGGAGGGGCTGTCATATAGAAACAGGATTACACTTCTACATAGCCCAAGTGGACAGCTAGGAACAACGCTGGAAATTGCAGAGGAGTAAAAGATGGCTCTATGAAAAAGGATATACTTTCTATTCAAGAAAAGCTTGTTGGTAGTTTCTTGTGGCTAGAGTCCAAGTGTAGGCCTTATAAATTAATTCCCCAAAGCCTGCAAAGGTGGTCATCGAAGTGGGCAAGGGGACAAAGTTCAGGCCCTGCAATCATGAAGAGCCGAAGTTCAAATCTAACCTGACACTAGCCGTGTGACCCTGGGCAGGTCACTTACTCCCAGTTTGCCTCAGTTCCCTCTTCTGTAAAATTGGGATAATAACAGCACCTGCCTCCTAGTGCTGTTTTGAGGATCAAATAAGATAATAATCGTAAAGTGCCTGGCACACAGTGAGAGGTTTATAAATATTTTATATTAAGTATGGGTTGGACTGATAATCTCTGAAGCCTTTTCCAAGATTCTTGAGAATTGGAAGGTATTTTCGTGACAGTGACAGCTCCTAAAAGGGGAATGACTCCATACAGCACTCGAAAGACAAAGAGGGCACATTTTGGAAGCACTACTTTGGGGGAAAAGGAAGATAGTGTAACAGCAACATTTAACAGGAAACGATTTTCCTATTCGCTGGTTTTGGAAGCTGAACGAGTTTTTCTTGCCTTGACAATTTTCTAGAAACTGATGGTGACCCTGGGAGTGGGGCGGGGGATGGATGGAAAGGAGTGTACAGAATAGACACCTGCAGCAGAATCCCACCTTCCTCCTGCTATCCCTCGGATGACGAGGCCCTCGACCCCCACCCCTTTCTCTGTGATGCTCAAAGCTAACCCCCAGAACTGCTGATGCCTGATTAGGATTTCGAGCCCCCACGGAATATTAATTAAATACGCTTATGCTTTGGACAAATGTTACAAGTCATTTAAATGCATGGCAGAGTAGGTTAAAAAAAATGATGCAAATTGGCTCCAGGTTACCAAAGTCCCCCTCCTCCAAAGGAGGAAGGCGACCCCGCGGCAGGCGCGAAAACCCGTCCTCCTTGGCGGGGAGGAACGCGAGCTTTGGGTAACGAAAGGCTAAAGCCGCAGACCCGCGCCCCAGACTGCGCGCGCGCCCCTGGGGCTCGAACTCCCTCCCGCGTGCACGGGGAGCGGGTTCCACGCACACGCACACGCACGGGGCCGACAGCTCTCTCTCACGTCGCCGGGGACCGGGCGCGCGAATCCGCGGCCTGAGCAGATTAGCGGCGCCGGGCGCGAGACCAGAGAGCGCATGGCCGCCAGCAGAGTTAGCTGGGAAACAGAAGCACCAGCCCTCTCTCTCCCCATACCCGCGCGCCTTCCTCGTTCGCGGGCCCCGCCCCCAGCTTTTCCGGCTTATCCCCACCCCCCTCCTCCCGCGCGCGGCGCGCCGCTAAGGTAGCGGCGCGCGTGCGTGCGCGTGCGCAGGGGAGGCCCTAGGAAGTGGAGGGGGTCTAATAAACGCTGTAGAGTTCCTGGTTTTAACCCTTTAGCGACCGAACGCTAACTTAGGTTTACGTGCCTGCGCAAAGCGGCGGCGCGCCCTCTCCCAGCCCGCACCGCGCATGAACGGGAGGTGGGGGGGGAGAGGTAAACGGGGGGATGGTGGTGGGGGTGTTCACGGCCAGCTCGGCATTCTGTGCTCGTGCAGGAATAGGAGGACAGCTATCGCCACGGACGTGCACAGTTTCCCCCTCCCCCCACCCCGTACCCTCCCCCAACTCCATAAAAACACGCTAATCCCCCCCAAAAAAACACTGCCCATCCAGCCACCCCAATAGCCCCGTGCCCACCTCTCCACACAAAGGCCTGTGTGTGTAGGGAGTACGGGCAAGGGTCCGTGGCGGTGCTGGGCAGCAGGTAAGCGCGGGCTGGGCGGCGGGGCCTGGGGCTGAGGGGTGCGGGAAGAGCAGCGGGGACGCGGATGGGGGGCCGGGCGGCGGGCCGACGAGTGCAGCGCCTCGGCGGGGGCGGCCCGGCTGAAGCGCGTGCCCGCCCCGGGATGTGCAAGAGGCTCGCGGCACTGGGCCCGGGCCCGGGCCCGGGCAGGGCCGGGCGCGGCTCTCGCGGGGCTGCAGCGGGGCGGACGAGCGGGCGGCGGCGGCGGCGTCGGCGCGCGCTCTCGCTCCAGTCTCCGCTTGGGGAGTCTTCATGGCCGCCGCCGTTGCCGCGGCTCGCACCTCCGCAGTGCATCGGAGCAGGAAAGACGGGTTGGCAGGCCTGCACACTGGGGCCTGGCGCCCCGATCCCACCTCCGCCCCTCTCTTACTGTCCCGCTCTCGTTTGTTTGAGGCTTTGCAGTGCCTGGGCTGGGGGAGGCTGAGTTGGGCACGGGAATGGCCGAGCCGGGCGGATCGCCCCACCCCCGCGGCGGAGGGAGCTGTGCTCGGAGCCGGGCGGGCGGGTGCTTGTTTCCCCAGCCGCGCGCGAGGCCGCTCCCCGCTCCTCGACCCCCCCCCTCCCCTTCCCGGCCGCGGAGGGGGAGGGGGGACCCGGCGCGAGTCGGACGGGGAGTGCGCGGGGCGCGAGCTCTCGGCTGGGCTCGCGGGCAGGCGGCCCCGCGCGCCACTGGCTGCCGCCGCTGCCGCGGCTGCTCTGTGCACCTCAGCCGGGCTGGATGGGCTGCCGCCAGCCTCGCGGTGCACCGTGCATTCGGCCTCTGGCCCTTATGCGATGACCGTGGCGGTGCGAAAAGACACCCCCCTCCAAAAAAAAATCAAACTTCTTTCTGCCACATTTTTTAGCGGAAGTTATGAACTCGATATACGTTTTTCCGTGAGCCGGAAAAGGCTTCTGTTTCAAAACAAATGTAAACGGCCTTATTCAGCTCTGCCCTGTCTCTGTTACTGGATTTAGAGGGGAAAAAATTTACACCCAAACCTGGGTTAGTTTTTGAGGCCCCTTGAGCCTCGCACATCTTTCCCGGGGTCCCCTACTTTCAGGTCTCGCTGCTGTAGGGTGACAGGGTGGGGAGAGGTGGGGAAGCCTTTGGTCAGCGAAACAGAGCTTCGCCCCTGGGGCCGAGGACGCTGCAGGAACCGCTTGCTTTCTGTAAGTTGAGATATTGCCCTAGTTTCCTCTCCCCTCAGTGGGTAACTGTAACTACAGTTGGGAAATTCAGAAAGAGCTCAGCTAAGAACTGTAGTGAGAGAAGGTCTGAACTTGCTAGGTCTCATTACCAGTGAGGAATTGGAACCACCAAACATTCCCCCCCCTCCCCCAAGACATCCCTGAAGCATCCTCTGTTCTGGAGTGAATGATCAGTGGCCACCTGCTGTTGTTACACACTGGCTGGCACAACTTTTAGAAGTGCTCAAATCTTAGGGTCATAGAGAAACTGGAAGGGCATCATAGGGCATCTAGTCTCGTTATATAGATGAAAAAGTAATTAAGTGGCTTATGTCACACCAATAGTGTCAGAGATGGGATTTAAACTGAGGTCCTGTTTTCTTTCCTCCAACACCTATTGCCTGCTGATTGGATTCAGAACTTTTATTAGAACACCAATGATTAACTTACAGATTTTATCAATAAGAAACAACAGTTCAATCTCTGTATCCATTTTCTAAAACCACACTTGTGATTTCATTTGTGTGGTGTGCTCCGAGTGGAGAATCTCCTTTATCCATGAAGATCTGCACTTTCCGTCTTAGAGAGAGCTACCTGGGGAAAAGGCCTTGCTCTTGGTCTCCCAAATCCAGTTTATGTTACAGGTGACATTTGAACTCTCTGACTCTAAGGCCCACTCTATGTGCAAGGCCATGCCACCTCTCACCTATAGCCAGCCATATCTGTAAATAATTAAGGGATATTAGTTCATAGGATTATAGACTTAGAGTTGGAAGGGACCTTAGAGGTTATTGAGTCCAATCTTCTCAATTTACGGATGAGGAAACTGAGCCTCAGAGTGGTTAAGTGACTTGATCCAAGTCATAGAGCCAGGCATTGAATGAGAGCCGGAGCTGGAAGGGACCTTAGAGTCTATTTTGTGTCTAGTTCAGATGCTTTATTGTGCTGGTGAGGAGGCCCAGGGAGATGAACTTGCCCCAGCTCACACAAACGATATCAGAGGTAGGGTGTAGAACCATGTTGTCTGATTCCAGAGCCATTGTGCTTTCCACACATTCTTTATGAATTTCCCAGAATTTGGAAGTTGGAAGGAAACCTAGAGATTATTTTCAGAGTTAGAAGGGATCTTAGAGTCCATTTGATCCAACCCGTACTCTCCTCTGACAAGTGAAGAAACAGTTACAGAGAGGCGGAATAAAATCATGCAAAATGTTAGTGATGGAGCTTAGATTAGAAAAAAGGTGTCCCACCTCAAAGTCCACAGACACTGCAAAAATTAGCGGAATAAAGAGAGGACAAACTCGGCTATGTCCTCTTGCCTGTATTAGAGTTATTAGCTGCTCTGGCCCTTGTGGTTTCTGCTCCAGTTTAAAAGATAGTACATGTGCTTTCATATTTCTGGAAAGCCCATTTGCCATCTGTTTTGTCAGACATTGGTAGCGAGGACTCTGAGCAGGGACAAACAATCCAGGAGCACCCGACTTGTCATAGGATTTTAAGCTGAAAGTAGCTTCAGAAAGGATATTTAACATCGCCCCCTCCCCCCCTTTTTTTTACCAGTTTTCAGTGGCCTCAAATTCCTTTAAAGCAGGCATTCTTAACTTTTTCTGTGTTGTCAACTCCTTCACCAATCTAATGAAGTCTAAGGACCTCTTCTTAGAACATTTTTAAATACTGAAAATTACAAAGGAAACCAATTATATTGTTTTTTTTTTTAAATTTTTTTTAATTCAAATTCGTAGACCTCAGGCCTAAGAACTCTTGCTTTAAAGGGACATTTCTTCTTTGGAAATGAGACTGAAAATGCAATTTCCATTGATTTTAGGATCATAGGCTTTTCAGAGCTGGGAAGACTTGAGGTATAGGGGATTAGATTGTATCTTTTCATCTGGGACGAGAGTATTCAAATTGGTGAGGATGAAATGGTTGAAATAAATTTAATTATTTCATGTTTTTGCCTTCAGTAGACTTGGTCCCTTTCCTACTTGCTAATAGTAGAGGTTCTGTCAGTGGGAATATTTCAGTTTACCTGAATTACGTGGTTTGTGGTTCAATTCCACCCAAACATTTATTCAACACCTTCTTCTCTGGGCCAGGCAATGCTTTCAAGGGGATTCCAATCAACTGGTTTTTATATCAGTTGGGATATGGCAAAATATCCTCACCTTCAAAAAGTCATTGTACTTATTCCTTAGCGTGGCAAATAAAGCCAAGTCTCTCATTTTTCCTATGCCCTACTGAAAACTAAGGCTCCAGGAAAGGCTATTGTAGCTACAATGCAGGAATCTTTTCCCACAGTGAGGTGAGGATTAGAATATTTTTGTCCTGTGAGAGGAGGATTCATGGAATCAGAAAATTTTGTGATCATTTTCTTCTGATAAGGGTGTGGTTGGGATTTTTGTAGCAGACAAACTTTTATTAAGCATCTGCTGAATGCCAGGTGCAGTGCTAAGCCCTGGGGATACAGAAAGAGGTAAAAGACAGTCCCTGCCCTCAGGGAGCTTACAGTCTAATGGGAGACACCAGGTCAAGCAAAGGTATGTACAGAGAAGCTACTTATGGGATAAATAGGAAATAATTAACAGTGAGAAGGCCCTAGAAGCTGCTTGTAGAACGTGATATTTTAGTCAGGACTTAAAGGAAACCAGGGAAAGCAGGAGGCTGAGATGAAGAAGGAAAGCATTCAAGTCTTGGGGGACAGCCAGAGAAAATGTCTGGAGCTAAGATAGCCAGAAGGGCAGCATCACTGGTCCAGCTTGTTGGAGAGTAAGGCTTAAGAAGCCTGTAATGGTAGGAGGGGAATAGGTTATGAAAGGCTTTGAATAACAAATAGAGGAATATACAGAGGTGATTGGAAGCTGCTGAAGTTTGAGTTGGAGGTGGAAGGGTGTATGTGATGTGGTCAGAATTGTGCTTTAGAAAATTTCTTTGGTGGTTGAATGGAGATAGACTGGAGTGGGGTGAGACTTGAGGCAGGCAGACACATCAGCAGGCTATTGGAATAGTATAGGTGGGAAGTGATAAGGACTTAACACCAGAATGGTGGCAGTATCAGGAGGGAAGGGGGCATACAGGAGAGATGGATCCATAGGCCTTGCCAATAGATTGGATATGGGAGGCAAGAAATATGAGAAGTTGAGGATGACACCTAGTTTTTGAGCCTGAGGGACTGGGAGAATGGTGTTACATAGGGAAGGTGGAAAAGGGGTAGGGTTTAGAGGGAAAAGGAGTTCAATTTTTGAGTTTGAGATGTCTGAAAGGCAGTAGGTGATGTGAGATTGGAGGTCGGCAGAGAGATTGGGGCAAGATAGGTAGATTTGAGAATCTTTAGGCTACAGGTGGTCATTAAATCCATGGGAGTTGATGAGGTCACCAAGTGAAGTAGTATAGAGAGAGAAGAGAAGAGGGCCGGGTGGAAAATCTGTGGTTTCAGAGGGCGTGATCTGGATAAGAATTCAACAAAGGAGACTGAGGAGCAGTCAGATTAGTAGGAAGAGTGCCAGGACACAGCAGTGTCATGAAAACCTAGAGAGAAGAGAGTGTCTAGGAGAAGAGGGTAATCAACAGTGTCAAAGTTTCCATAGATTGTGAAGGAGAGTGGATTGAAAAAAAGGCCTTTGGAATTGGAAATTAAGAGATCATTGGTAACTTTGCAGGGAGCAGTTTTGGTGAAATGAAGAGGTTGGAATCTGGAAGGGATTTAAGAAGAGTCAAAGGAGAGAAAGTAGAGGCAGTAATTGTAAATGGCCTTTTAAAGTTTAGCCACAAAGGGCAGAAAGAGATATAGGAAGGTAGGAAGAATCCAGTGAGAGTTTTTCAGGATGGAGGATTTTGGGAATGGGGTTTACTGCCTTGGTCAGTAGGAATATCTTTGACTCTGCATCTGGGCCCTTAGGTTGTTGGATGAGCCGAACAAATGAGCTGGAAGATGTCTTTGAATCTGCTCCTGAGGCAGGGGAGACAAACCAACCTTGGGTCTGCAACATCATGGCCAGTGTAGATCAAGTTCACTTTGGTTCTGGAAACTGAAATAATAGCTAAATTCCCCCCACCCCCGTTGGGGGGGGTGAAGGAAACTGGAGGAAGATCCAAAGTTGGTAATAAGAGCTGATGGAAAAAAACATTATTTTGATTATGAGAGTATGAGAGAGAGGATACTTGAATATGTAAATAGAAAAATTTCTAGTGGAGGCTTATTCTCTGAAATTGAACCCTGTCTGGTTAGTGCTTTATTAGATAGAACAAACGTAGCAAAGTCTTCAATACATTCCATAGACACAAACTTTTGAAGAAGTTTGAAATATATTTATTGTATTAAAAATTCTAAAGCCCTAGCTGGAGGTTGAAATAATTTGCTTTATAGGATAGTTGTACTTTTTTTTTATCTTTAGAATGCAAATCTTAAAAATCTTGAATTATCTATCTAGATCAGGAGTGGGGAACCTATGCCCTTGATGCTACATGTGGCCCTCTAGGTCCTTAAGTGCAGCCCTTCAACCAAATCTAAATTTCACAGAATAAATTCCCTTAATAAAAGGATTTGTTCTGTAAAACTTGGACTCAGTCAAAAGGCCGCACCCAATGACCTAGAGGCCACAGGTTCCCCACCCCTGATTCTAGATAAAACACTAAAGCATCTAACACTGTACCTGCCTGCCTAAATCTGGGACTTGAACTGCCTACCACCTATCTTTGAGGTTCCTGTTGCTGCCTCTAATAGTGCTTTAAGTCCCTGTACCCCTGTAGTGTTCTATATTCTTACCTCATTGTTATTCTTCCTTTGAAACTATCTTAAACATGGGTAGACCTCATTCCTTCCCCCAATAATTTCTTAGTAGGCTAAACCTATCAAATTTACGAATATACATATGTGTTCCCCTTAAGAAACATAGTCACAGTATTCTTTGTTTAGAATTTGAGAGCTTGATGATTCTTTACTTTTTTTTCCTCTTTCAGGTTTGGAGTATCAGTGATCAGAGTTATTCTGATCTGAAGAATTTGGTGTTTTAAATCATCAAGATAATTGCCTAAATTGTTCATGGTAAATATGACATTTAATAGTTTTCAGTGAAATTTCAGTAAATTAATTTGATATTTGCTTTTTAAAAAAAAAACATGTTTCAGATATAGATCATGCCTTGATGTACTTTTGATTTGGTTTAAAGAAAAGTATGATTGCCTCATACTGATTCTGAGGGGATTAAAAGGAAATCAGAATGGTTTTGAAGAGAATAAATTCAAGCGACAATGTAAAAATCATGGGGTTTAATCAAAAATTCCTTGTTATGATGCTGAGTGTTTTTAATTCTAGCCTTAAGCTTCTAGGAGTACATCCAGAAAAGTAGTATTGTAGTAATTACAGAGTCGAAGACAAACATCTATTACTTATTCTTCACTTTTGTCAGGCACATTTGTTATATTTCAGTCACACTTTTATCTAGATGTTGGGTGTTTCAGCATGCACCCAAGAGGCACCATCTATCTTCCAGGCCTTCATCTAGTCCCTGGCAATCCTTTAGTCTGCCCCAGGATTATTTTGGACTCCTATCCTTTCCAGGCTTTTTAGCAATATCCTAGAATTTTCTTTAGTCTGGAAGCCAATACCCCACCATTATGGCCCTCTTTGGTGTATTTGAGTGTTAATTTTCTCCTTTTACCATGGAGTTAATATCTAGTTAACATCCAGTTAAAATCGCTGAGTATTAATTGCTCAACCACTGGCTCTGTGGTGATGTTATAGATCCAAACAAGAGTGATTATTCAGTGAGCCAGAGATCCCATCCTTAGTTCTTGAAACTGTTATTTTAATATTCCATGTACTGAGGTGCTTGGATCCATACTCTCATTAGTGAATGAGTGAATAAATTATTGAATTAAAAAAAACATATACTAAATGTGTTGGGTGCCCGGCACTCTGCTACTCCCTGGCAATACAAATTTTTTTTTTTCTTTTTTGCTAGGCAGTGGGGTTAAGTGACTTCCCAGGGTCACACAGCTAGTAAGTGTCCATTGTCTGAAACCTGATTTGAACTCAGGTCTTCCTGACTCCAGGGCCCGTGCTCTATCCACTGTGCCACCTAGCTGCCCCATAAATATTTTTTAAAAGGAGATAATTCCCTGACTCCTGGACTAGCCCTTTATCCATAGAGCCACCTTGGCTGCCCCTTACATTCTAGTAAGATAAGACAAATACATAAAGGGGAGAGGTCACCAGGGAGGGGAATGTTGTTCTGAGGATGAGGGGCAGGGTTTGAAAGAAGGATTAGGAATTCCCAGACTGGCAGATGGTGAGATGATCTGAGGGAATCTGAAGCTTGGTCTGTTGCCTAGGGTGGTCAAGTAGAGAGTGTAGGCTAAGTGGGCTACTCAAAGATATGAGCTCCAAAGAGTGGATTGTGGACTATGGACAAGCATTCAGAAGGACCCAGGTATGTTGTGGGCACTGCTACCATTGTAGTTCATGACATCTCTTTGTCTTTTAATTTAATTTTTTTCTCATAAATTCTTCATAGAAGATTTACTCAGCAGTTTAGAATTCTTCATCTGATTTTGTTTTTATAATAAACTTCATTACTTTAGGGTTAGCCAAATTCCTAATAAATGGGAAACTGGAATTTAAAAAAAATAGTTTAGTTATCCTTTCTTTGCTCTCAAAAAAAGACTGTTGTATTGATTGTATCAGGTCTTCTAGGCTTAAAAAGCAAAAAAAAAGATATACCTGTAGTTAAAGTTTATCTCATAATCCTGGATTGTTTCATTCATTGGTAATATTTAGACTTTGCTTTTCTTTTTTTCTGTAGGAGTTTTTCATCAGTATGTCTGAAACCATTAAATATAATGATGATGATCATAAAACTCTGTTTCTGAAAACATTAAATGAACAACGTCTGGAAGGAGAATTTTGTGATATTGCTATTGTGGTAGAAGACGTGAAGTTCAGGGCACATAGATGTGTGCTTGCTGCATGCAGTACCTACTTCAAAAAGCTTTTCAAGAAGCTGGAGGTGGATAGTTCATCTGTAATAGAGATAGATTTCCTTCGTTCTGACATATTTGAGGAGGTTTTGAACTACATGTATACTGCAAAGATTTCTGTAAAAAAAGAAGACGTAAACTTGATGATGTCATCAGGTCAGATTCTGGGTATCCGGTTTTTAGATAAACTCTGCTCTCAGAAGCGAGATGTGTCTAGTCCTGAAGAAAACAACACTCAGGCAAAAAACAAGTATTGCTTGAAAATAAACCGCCCCATTGGAGATTCCACTGACAATCAGGATGATGAAGTAGAAGAAATTGGAGATCAGGATGACAGTCCTTCTGATGATACAGTGGAAGGAACTCCCCCAAGTCAGGAGGATGGTAAGTCACCCACTACCACACTTAGGGTTCAAGAAGCAATCTTGAAGGAGTTGGGGAGTGAAGAAGTTCGAAAAGTAAATTGCTATGGCCAGGAAGTAGAATCTATGGATACCTCAGAATCAAAAGACTTGGGGTCCCAGACTCCTCAAGGTTTAACATTCAATGATGGCATCAGTGAAGTGAAAGATGAACAGACCCCTGGCTGGACAACAGCCACCAGTGACATGAAATTTGAGTACTTACTGTACGGTCACCGGGAGCAGATTGCCTGTCAAGCATGTGGAAAGACATTTTCAGATGAAGCCCGCTTGAGAAAGCATGAAAAGCTCCATACAGCAGACAGGCCATTCGTTTGTGAAATGTGTACCAAAGGCTTCACCACACAGGCCCACCTGAAGGAACACCTGAAAATCCACACTGGATATAAGCCTTATAGCTGTGAAGTGTGTGGGAAATCGTTCATCCGTGCTCCGGACTTAAAAAAGCATGAAAGAGTTCATAGTAATGAGAGACCTTTTGCGTGTCATATGTGTGACAAAGCCTTCAAACACAAGTCCCATCTGAAAGATCATGAAAGAAGACACAGAGGGGAAAAGCCTTTTGTTTGTAGCTCCTGTACAAAGGCGTTTGCCAAGGCATCCGACCTCAAACGCCATGAGAACAATATGCACAGTGAGAGGAAACAGGTCCCCACTAGTGCCATCCAGAGTGAGACTGAACAGTTGCAGGCAGCTGCTATGGCGGCTGAGGCGGAGCAACAGCTTGAGACCATAGCTTGTAGTTAGGTGCAATCAGAGATCAAGGGAAAGCGGAACTCTTTATATCCAAGAGGCAGTTACTGCATAGACTTTGAGATTAAACTGGTTAAAAATGAACTTCTTAAGACTGGTCACTGTATTTTTGTGGAAACTTGTGAAGAGTTGTTGTCATTGAACTGAAGACGGTGCTTCTTGGTTAGATGCTTTAAAAACTTTTCAAGGAAATATTTCCTCAGAATTCTGACCAAATGGTTTTACTGTCGTACGTAGCAAATCGTAGTATTATTGCCAGTTTGCTGTTCATTTTTTAAATGGTTTTAATTTGAGAATTCTTGTATAAGTCATAGAAGTAAAAAAAAAACTACCTTTTTAATTCTTGTATTCCTATTGCACTTGGAGTGTATTATACAGAATGAATAATGGGGTACATTGATGTCTTAATCAACATTTTGTGACTGCTGGTCAAATCAGATTTTTATTCCTCAGAAAGACAACAGTGGGAACACTTATTAAGCACCTTCCCTATTCAGAGTGCCGTGCTAGCTGTTGGGGAGAGATATACAGTTTACATGAGACATGGTCCCAAGTACAGAACATGTAGAAGTAGAAAATGCTTGATAAATGATTGACCATGAGCTGAGCAATCAAAACATATCATTAGAAGTAGTGAAAGTACAAATTGATATTAACATTTGTTACATTTATTTTGTCAGGTTTTTTTTTCCTGTATTCAGTGAAATTCAGATGTTGGTTGCCTCGTGGCAAGGGTTCTTCATCACTTTGTTGCTCCTCACCTCCCTAATCTGACTTTCCTCCCCTCCCTACATATGTTGAATTAGATTGTACAGCAGGCCGTATGGTCCACTTGGTTTGTTGGTATGGCCAGATAGTAAGCACTTGTCATCTTGAGGTCAAGTTCTTAGAGCCTTCCTATTTTAAGGTGTCTCTTGCTCTGTGAAGTTTTGTTTCAAAAAGTCATTTTAAAAGTAGGGGAATGGTACAGTGAATGATGGCAACTAGAGATAGGAATGTGACTCTTGGAGACAAGTTTTTTACGTGCAAACTTAATTGCCTACCAACTTTATCAGACTCAATAATTGCAATTGATTTCAAAATCGGATTTAAAAAAAAATTCAAGAACAAGACTTTAATATTAAGTTGATATTTGAAAGAAGAGTGTTAACTAAATGCACTTCTTCATATACGTTTGTATAGCTCATCAGAGTTACATCAATCTGTTGAACTTTTTGCAGGACATGATTTACCTAGTCAAGAAGCCACAAAGTTGCAGCATATGTAAATTAATAATTAAAGTCTTTTTAATTGTGTAAATAGTATAGAATTTTCAATGTTACATATTTCAAGTAATATGGACAGAGCTGCACTTTTCTTTGTACATTTGATTAGAATACATTTTAAGTCTGCAACAAACATTTATGACCAACATAAAAGCTGCCAGGCTAATTGTTTCTTTTTGCTTCATCATTGCTTGCATTTCTGTTTAGAAATTAAGAATGCCTTTTTGTAGCTGTTAAACTGATTCTAATGATGAACTTTGTTTCACTTTTAATGTATGTGATTCATTTGACCACCTTCTTTAAAAATTCTTTAAAATTCCATCAGTAGCTTGAAATACCTTCTATAATAAAACATTAATTATTTTAGAATATTTTAAAATCAAGGAAGTTACCATAATTTTTATTCTTAATTTTGTGTTGCTGGTTTTTTTTTAAAAAACAAACTTAAAATAATTTCCTTTCTCAGCTTATGATAGCACCAGTCATAAGATAGATTAAAAAAACCAGATTCAGTTCGTAAAACTTTGTTGAGCTTTATGGGGGGGGAAATTGTTAATGTATTTATTGGCAAAACATTTTATTTTGTTTTTAAAGTGGTTGAATTTATTTACACACAAATGTTTATTGTCTACTAAAGACAGCCCTACTGCATTTTCTAAATTTTCTTCTAATAATAAAAACTAACATTTCTGTGGCACTTTAAGGTTTGCAAAGCACTTTACATACATTATCTGATTTGCGCCTCACAACTACCCTGTGAGGTAGGTGCTGTTACCCCCGTTTTATAGATATGGAAACAGGCTGAGAGATCATAGATGTAGAACTGGGAAAATACTGGAGCCTACTGAGTCCAATCCTTCATTTTACAGATGAGGAAACATAGGCCTGCCTAGAGATTAAGTGATTTGCCCAGGGTGACACACGGTGTCTGAGGCAGCTTTTTGACCTGGTTCTTTCTGACTCTAGGCCTAATGCTCTATCCATGACATGGTGCTGTTCTCATGGTCTGTAGGAATAATTGGGCAGCAAACAACTAATCTAAGATTTTTCTCACCAAAGCAAGGTAAAAATAAAATAACTTCTCAGCTGTAACTTTTATATGAAGCTATTTGAGGACACTCTAACTGTATTTAAACAAAAGATGTTTGTCATTTCAGTTTCAGTTTTTCAGAAACATAGTTTGGATTCTATTACTATTGTGATGTATTTTGCCTCTCCACGTATTCCAGGAAGAAAATGCATTTTTTCCTAGACACTGTTCACTACCTACTATACCATACTTAGTTATGTTTTTCCCTCTGGCTTTATGACAGAATCTGGGCTGGCTGAAAAAAATGAATTAGGCAGCAAATGGAACACCAGATTTGAAGTCAGAAGACCTATATACAAATACCAGCTTTCCCCCTAGCTGTACTACTGTATGCTAGACATTTAATATTTTAACCTGTTTCCTAAATTTTAAAATAAGAAATATCTTCCCTGCCTGTCTTACAGGGTTGTGTGAAAAATTAGGTGAAATATATGTATAAGTATTTCTATAAAGTTCTATATATTGAAAGAACCCTTATTGCTTGAGCACTCGGGTGAGAGAGATTGGAAAGGAGGAAACAGGTGAGCTAGTCACCTTGAGCTCCTCCTTCTTCAAGTAAGCCATCTCTTAGTTCTAGATCAGGATACAGCGTTGTTAGATTGTGTCAATGCACTGACCCAAGTTTATGGGAGTAGTGATTTGGAATTACATAGCTATCTAGTCCTGCTGTCCCTGACACTGTATCTTGTGATTTGGAGCTGGAATGAATCTCAGATGTAATCCAACCCCCTTCACTTTTGTAGAAGAGGAAACAAATGACATGTCCAAAGTCACATAAGTAACTAAATAGGATTTGAATCCAGGTTGCTTAAGCTTCAAGCTGAAAGTAGACATTCTAAATGTAGATACTGCCTCCATATTGCTTAAAAATCATGTCTCCCATGTCTTTTTTGTACCGACGTACTGTTTTGCTTCAAGCATCATTCTTCTAGGACAGGCCTGCACAACCTACAGCTTATGGGCTGCTTACAGCTGGCAGCATGCCAAAGGATTTTGGGCAGCCCGTGAGAGATGTAGAGGAAGTCTTTTGGCGTGCTGCAGGTCGTGCAGGCCTGTTCTAGAACTTGAGGAATTTCTGAGCAAAAGATTTTTAGGAGATCTAGATCCTTGCTTTGGTTCTGCTTAAATGTGTGGCTTTGGGCACGTGGTTTACTCTCTCATGGTCTTAGTTATCTTATCTGTGTAGTGAAGACTTTGAGTTGCTGTGTTTTCATAAGTTCAAGAGCTCTACTTAGCTGCTGATTAATTTTGTCACTTTAGTAAATAGGAGTAAGAATATCTAACAATATTAATAAAGGTTTCTGAGGTTGACAACCAGCTGATACTTAAATTTCCCCTCAACTTGTTTTAAAGTAGAAATATTAGAGGAAAGGATTGGGGATGGATTTAATAAGATTTGGAGCTGGAATGTTTAGAGATCTTTTAGCCTAACTCATTTATCTTACAGATGAAGAAAATCTCCAAACTTAGATTCAGTTCAGTGGAAAGAACATTGAATCTAGCAGAGGACCTGGGTTCATGTCCCAACTTTGTTGACAATTACTACATGTGTTACTTTGGGCAAGTCAGCCTCACAGGGCCTTAGTTTTCTCATCTGTTAAAATACTGAGTTTGGACCAGATGGTCTTAGATGGTCTAGATGTGCCTTCTAGCTCCAGACTTAGGATGCTAGGTAGTAGTTTGAGCCCAAATCTGACCCAGTTTGGTGCTCCTACATCACCATACTGGCCTTTTAATTGTGCAAATTCAGGCAGCTCCCAGTTTACAAATGTATTACTGTGTATCCATGTGTAAGCCAATTTGGATCATTGAATAAAAAAGTTTCCATTGAAATGGTTAGTGCACAAAAGTAATTCATAATCTAGCTAATTCAGTATTAAGAATGATGATCCATAACCCAAGTTATGGATCCTAGAAGTAAGGAGCAACTCAATTAACAAAATTTTAATGTTGAAAAAATTTGTCCAGGGCATCCTTACCTTATGACATTCCTATGCTCTTGTTAATCTCATGCTACCCTAAACTTTGAACTGTAGTGCCATATTCTACCTTGTCCTGTTTTTCCAAATGCTCTGTGGTATAATTTTTTTTATTAAATTTTTGTTCTAACACTTTAAATTCCAAACTGTCTCCCTCCATCCTTCCCCACCCCACATGAGAGAAAGCCACCATTTGATGCAGATATACAAATAGATGTAAAACCATACTATGCATACTTCTATTTATCAATTCTTTCTCTGGAGGTGGATAGTATCATCCTTCAGTATGTCCATTGTAGTTGACTTGAATATTTCTAGTACACCCAGTTAATTACTCTTTGAATAATATTGCTGTTACTATATACAATGCTTTCTTGGTTCTACTCACTTCACTTTTCATTATTTCTTGCACGTCTTTCCATGTTTTTCTAAAACCAACCAGCTCATCATTTCTTACAGCCCAGTAGTATTGTGTCACAATCATATACCACGTGTTTAGCCAATTCCCCAATTGATGGGCATCCCCTCAATTTTCAGTTCTTCACCACCACTCTGTGGTATAAAATTACTTGCTCTTTTCTGAAACAATTCCCATTAGTTCATTGGAGCTAATCTCAGTGAAGTATTAGGAGGAAAGCAGTCTAATATGATTAGACCAATTAACACCAATGTGTGAATGGCTGGTAACTCCTTCACCTTCCCAAAGGTGTGTGTGTGTATATATTAAAATGAGATTCATATGACTCTTAT